CACACACACACACACACACACACACACACACACACACACACACACACACACACACCTCTCAAACCCAAAATAAGACGACGGAGAACGGAAGAGGAGGAAGATGAGGAGAGAGTGACGGGAAGCTGAAGCAGAGACAGAAACTGAACAGGACCGACGACAGGATCATCTGCACTGTAAAAACATCTCCATCTTATCAAGTTGTTTTAAGTCTTTAGATTTTTAAAACCATCTCAACACAAATCAACAGTTCCAAGATTTTTCAATCGTTCTGCTGGAATTTCTTCTTTAAATGTGCCTCAGAAATAAATGGACAGATGTGTAGATCTACACCTGCTGATGAAGACCATGTAACAGCTACTAAATGGACCATGAGGTGAGACTGTTTTACTGCATTCACATCTGGAGCCTCGACTCAGAATTATCAAGAAAGATTTTCAGATTTACCAGAAAAAAAACAAACTGTCTCATAATTTAAAAGATCTTCTCTGTAATTATCAGAGAGAGTCTAAATGATGAGATGATGTTTTTCTGTAGATTTATAATAAAAGACAAACTTGTTGGTAAGATGGAGACCAGGTAAAACAAACTGGGACCAGATCCTCCTGAAGCAGCAGACTGGGATGGGACCAGTCTCCTCTTCCAGTTGTGTGTCTGTGCTGATCCTGATCTGGTGCATCAGATCTTGTATTGACGAGGTAACAGCAGGTTCCGTATCAGATCTATTGATCTATTCAGTCCATGATACCCAGTCCCAGTTACACCAGAGTCCTGAACCAGACCGCAAAGACATGACCACACTGACCCAGCTGGTTCTGCTGGACCAGTAGGACCAGTGCAGGTGCTGCAGGTCTGATACTGAACCAGTACAGGTGCTACAGGTCTGATACTGGACCAGTAGGACCAGTACGGGTGCTGCAGGTCTGATACTAGAACAGTAGGACCAGTACAGGTGCTGCAGGTCTGATACTGAACCAGTAGGACCAGTACAGGTGCTGCAAGTCTGATACTGAACCAGTACAGGTGCTACAGGTCTGATACTAGAACAGTAGGACCAGTACAGGTGCTGCAGGTCTGACACTGGACCAGTACAGGTGCTACAGGTCTGATACTAGAACAGTAGGACCAGTACAGGTGCTGCAGGTCTGACACTGGACCAGTAGCACCAGTACAGGTGCTGCAGGTCTGACACTGGACCAGTAGGACCAGTACAGGTGCTGCAGGTCTGATACTGGACCAGTAGGACCAGTACAGGTGCTGCTGGTCTGATACTGGACCAGTAGGACCAGTACGGGTGCTGCTGTAGAGAGAGGGAGAGGATGAGGAGGAAGAGGAGGGTGAAGACGATGAAGAGGACGGTGTCTGGTTAGTGATGAAGACGACAGACTTTCTGTCAGTTAACCCTCTGTTCTCTCTCTCTCTCTCTCTCTCTCTCGCTCTCTCTCTGGTCCAGAGTTCTCGGTGTCGTCCGTCCGTCCGTTCAGGCTCCGCCCCGTGTTCGGCGTGTTCGGCTGGGGGAGGGGCGGGGCTGTGACGAGGGGCGTGTCCAGTTGAATGTAGGCGGCTTTGTACAGTTAAGTGTTACCTTTGAGGATGCCCAGACAGCTCTGCAGCAGCTGGAGGTTCCCCTGCAGGTGAGAGGGGGCGGGGTCACACACAGACACACAGGTGAACAGGTGAGTTATGTGACGAGAGCTGTTTGTTGATTGATGATTTTGACAGACTTGATGGTCAACGTGAATCTTCATCAACACATTATCCAATAACACTGACACAAGCTTCAGGCTCCGCCCACATCTTCATCTCATTTATTTTCCTTTTCCTGTTAGCTAATCGATTAGCTTAGTCAGTTAGCTTCTCCTTTTAGCCTCTCTGTGACACTCTGGGCTTCAGTGCTGGTAAGAACAGGCTAAATAATCCCAATTGGCCATGGGTGATAACAAGCTCTCTGATTGGTTGGAGAGCTAACCAATCATGTCTTGTTTTACCAGCGCTGAAGCCCAGAGTGTAACAGAGAGGCTAAATCACTAAGCTAATCGGTTAGCTAACAGGAAAATCAGCTGGAAAAAGAAAATGGAAATTGAAGCTTGAATCCAGGAATGTTTTCCCATTTTTAAAATGTCTTTTCAAATTCTATTATTTATTCATGAATTAATAAATGTATTTTTAGATGGTTTATTTAATGAGACTTTAATGCTGTTTTTGAAAATCTATTTTTAAATTTTAAGCATTTATTGATGAATTAATTGTTCATTTATAAATTCTTTTTACAATTCCTGTTGTTAATGCTTATTAAAATATGAAATGAAGGAAATGCTTTATTACTTTTCCTGTGACATCCCTGGTCCTCCATAGTTTCCTTTATAAATCGCTTATAAGGGTCATCTTATTGTAAAGTAGTATAAATCATTTTGCATACTGTGCAGCCCTAATGTAAATGAAGAAGACTTGGGGTTCAGTGTGGACACAGACTTCCTGGCTCCGTCTCAGTCCTGACTCTGAACTGTTGCTCTAACGGCCGGGGGTCTCAGGTCTCTGCAGTGTTTCAGTACCTTGGCGTGTTTGAGCTCCAGCTCGGCCAGCTCCACCAGGTTCTTCCTGAACGCTGCCACTCGTCTCGTCTTAAAGTCTATGAGCTCTGCATTCAGAAGAAAATCCACCGTCATAACAGTTTGATACAAACACACACACTCATCACTTTAACAGAGGGGGGAGCCGTCAGTCGGACTGCAGGGCTGCAGTAACATACGCTGACAGGTGCTCGTCATTATTGGACCAAACTCAACTGAAACTGGGTCAGCAGCAAAACTGACAAGGATCAGGGGCCAGTTGCACAAAACACCTTAAGTTTTCTACTTAAGTTTGACACTTAGCGTTGAATTCCTCCTTAGCTGAGGAAGTTACCTAAGGGTGTTGCACAGAATAACTTTAAAGGTTTTTTCTTAGTTAAGGAAAGTTAAAGCATTTGCAATGAAAGAGATTTTACAGCTGTAAAATTCTACAGTTTCAAGTTTTTATTTTAAGTAAATTTTAACTTAAGACGTGCAACCGGCCCCAGGAGTCAAGGGAACCAGGACTGGGATCAGACCTTGCTTGGCGGACTCGGAGATCTTCTCAAACTTGTGGCAGCAGAGCTGCTGGCTGGTCTCGGCCTGCAGGACGTCTCTGTTTTTGGCTCGAGCTTTATCCAGAGCCTTGTTAGCGTTCTCGTAGTCCACCAGAGCCCGGCTCCTCCGGTACAACAGGTCCTGCAGCGTCACATCATCACACAATTCAGTGTCTGGACATTAATCAGTCATTTAAAAAAAATCAGTAATTGAAAATGATTTGGACTCTGAAAATAGTCCCCAACAAATGCACTCCTGTTTGTTTGATAGAAACTTCAGTGAGCAGCTGTTTCAGGAAGTGACTGAGCTTTTGAAACATGAAACTATTTATATGTGGAGTTTTACAGATTCACGTCTTCAGTAGGAACCAATGAGCTGAGAGCCACAGACAGAGGAGGGAAGAGCTGAGAGGACGAACACACTGTTGGTTTGAAGCTGTGTCTCAGTTCAGGGTCTCAGGCTGATTGTGTCTCAGCAGCGCGACTCGACTGTCCTGTTTCAAAGGCTCCTTCAGATGCGCCCAATGCAACAGGTGAATCCTTCACGGTTCAACATATCCCAAGATTCATTGCTCTCAGGTAATGACAATAATATGTCAGTAAACAGACAGCGAGCCTGACCTGAGGATCACACTGTTAATGTAAGTGCTGTGTTTCAGCTCAGTGTAACGGTACAACTGTTAAAACCAAACACCTTAAAACTTCAAGGTTTGTGAAGAAAAAGTTAAGTGTTGTGAAGGTTGCCTGGCAACAGGAGCCGCGCTTCAAACCACAATGGTAAGGGCGGGAACAGCTGATGACGCAAAGAGAAAATCCTGCTTAGACCAGACCGTCTCATTTCAGTTTGGTCTACGGAGGACCACACCTTCGTCGACCACGTCCTCGGACAGATGCGGCGCCTGAACTGAGACAAAGCTCGAGTCTAAACATCTGAACACAACAACAGGAGCCTGATGCTGCAGCTGTGAGCAGACAGACCTTTGCAGCCTGTGACTCTCTCAGGTAATATTTCAGGAGGTCGGCGAGCTTCAGGTCTTCATCTGCTGCAACTCGAGCTTCGATTTTCTGTAAAACAACAACAGACAGAAGCTGAAGAGTCAGTGGAAAGAACAAGAGGCGGGAGTTCTACAGCAGCAGCTGCTTCAGACTGAGGCTTCGTCCACACGACTACGTTTTCATTTTAAAACAGCGTTTTCAAACGAAATTGATCTCCATCCAGACTAACGCCTGAAAACGCACACATACATGATCATTCACCTACACTGAGCATGTGCGAGCAGGTGTAAACAGGAAGTAGATCGTCTACTCTGCAGTAAATCCTCTGAAGGAGGAGCAGCAAAGACAGTTGTAGCAGTGAAACAGAGAATGTAAGTGAACAACAGCTGCTAGCAAAGACAACAAGGTCAGTAACTCTGTCATTCATTATCATGTTGTATTCACCGCTGGCACTCCAGGCTGATGAGAGCCAATCAGGAGAGACCGTGGGTGTGATGTCATCGTTTCTCAGTTTCTGACCGTCCAAACTACATGTCAACCCAAGTTGTCAAAATGAAACGCAAATGCAGAGTTTTCAAAATAAAACGCACACCCAGAGTTTTCAAAATAAAACACACACCCAGAGTCTTCAAAATAAAACGCACACCCAGAGTTTTCAAAATAAAACACACACCCAGAGTCTTCAAAATAAAACGCACACCCAGAGTTTTCAAAATAAAACAAAAGTCTTAGTTTTCGGTGCTCAAAAGTTTTCCAGTTGTATGGACGGAGGCGAAAACGCAGCAAAAGAGATGAGTTTTAAAATGAAAACGTAGCAGTGTGGACGTAGCCTGAACCAAACATTCAAACGTCCTCTGCTGACCTCACGTCAGCTGGAACTAACATGACAACAAACATACCCTCGTTTTCTCAAACAGCTCGGACACCTTCAGGAAGAATCTGAAACAGAGGAAACAAGAAGAGGTCACTGCGGGAAGATGAAGAGGTGACACCGAACATTCAGACATGTTGGAACGTCGGCTGCGGCTCGTACTTGCAGAGGTCTGTGGAGTCCTGTGTTCCTAATGTGTAGAGAGACGAGGCGATTCTGTTGATGTCATCTGCAGCGTCTGAACACACACACACACACACACACACACACACACACCACACACACACACACACTTAAGTCCCAGTGTTTCCTTCGTTCTCTGGTGTCTGAACTGCACCACCTCCACTCTTTCTCATGTCAGGACTTCAGGTTTGTCTTCCTACATTAAAATACAACTCCCATGATTCCGTGCGTCTCTCCCACAGAGAAGCTGAACTTGTGAGAGAGACGTTAAAAACTGAACAGAGGGATGACAAACTTTGCTCCACCGCTGGTAGTCAAGGCTGATGAGACCCAATCAGGAGAGACCATGGGCGTCTACATCATCGTTTCCAAAAGTCTCAGTTTCTGAGACTAAAACGCAACCTGGAGTTTTCAAAATAAAACGGGTCCAACAGCGTTTTTGAAAGTCTGTTTTAGAGGCTCTGGAGTCATGTGGACACCAGGAGTAAATGTTTCAGTGTGAACGTAGCCTGAGTTTAGAGGTGGAGAACGTCTCCTGACAGCAGCAAGAGATTTAACATTAATCAGAGGCTTTTATTTTGAAGAAACTGACTTTTTACTTCCTGCAGACACCCTGTAGGTTTTAACATAGGTTAAACTCCCCATGCAGCGTCCCGCCCACACCTTCCAGCTGCTGCTCCTGTTTTATTCTCTGAAACTGAACCTGGTTCTTACTTTTGTGCGAGCGAATCATTCTGTCAGATTTGGCCGAAGCGTCTTTCACTCTGTTGTGATATTCTAACAGGAACGTCTTCTCGTGCTCAAAGAAATCGTCCACGTCCTGAAGCAGAGACAGAAAAACAACAAACGTCAGAGAAAGAGACGCAGAAACCAGGAAATAAAACTCTCTGTTTGTTTGTTTGTCTGTCACCTTGACTCCGGCCACCAGAACGCCGTCGGCAGACTTCACCACATTCTTAAAGAAATCCTCCAGTTTCTCCTTCTTGTTCTTCCCTCGAACACTCAGCTGGGAGAGAGGGGAGGTCAAAGGTCACACATAACAACAACAACAAGACGTGTTACAAAGTGATGACAACGTCAACGTTTGTTTTGTTTCTATGATCAAACTAAAGTAAAATGATGTTCAGGTGAGATCCAGAGTTTGAAGAAGATCCAGCAGCTCATATTCACTCAGATCTCACCTGAGCAGGTTTTTACACTTTCACCCTTTTTTACACAGAAATTAACAGGTTTTTAAAACGCGAGTAAAGTCGGTAAAAAAGGCGATTAACACCTTTTACACCGAGTTTGTCTTTCCTCTCTAAGACACAAACAACTGCGGGGAGTGATGTCATCACATGGACTTCAGTCAGGAACACACTGCCTGCGCTGCGTGAGCGTGGCGGCTGATGTTGCTGAACTGCTGCGGAGAAACACGTGTGTTCACACCGGCTGCGTTGCTCTGTCTCTCTACACAGTTTGCAGGTTACTGACTGTTGGATTTCTTTTCATTATAAATTAATTTCTCATTTATTTATTTATTTATTTATTTTTTTGGGGGCTTTTGTGCCTTTATTGGACAGGATAGTATAGAGAGACAGGAAATGGGGAGGCAGAGAGAGGGGGAATGACATGCAGTAAAGGGCCGTCCAATGCGGGATTCGAACCGGGGCCGACTGCAGCAAGGACCTTAGCCTCTATATATGGGGCACCTGCTTAGACCACTGCGCCACTCGATGCCCCATTTCTCATTTATTTTTGACAGAAAACGTCACTGAAATGTCTCCGTCTCCGCGTGCAGCTGCTAAAATGGTTAGAAAATATATTTACATGCTACATGCAGCTGACAGGAAATGAGTTAGTCTTAATCTGCATCAAGGCTCGTATTCACCGAAATACTGATGAAGCAGTGTTGTTTTTATTAACTTATATATATCAATACATAAAACCTGCACAGGTGAACTCTCAGCTCAGTGATTCACTTGATCAATACATGTGTGTGCGTGTGCGTGTGTGTGTATTACTCACGTCCTGGTTGTACTCCAGGAAGACGTGGAAGTTGAGGTCTTTCCTGAGGACAGGATGAGCCGCCACGCGACACAGGAAGACCTCGTGCATGGCGACGGTCTTCTTGAAGATGGCCAGGTATTCTCTGAGTGCAGACACACGGCGGTCAGAGTGGGGACAGTGGATTAACTGATCATAACTGACGGGTTAGTTAGTTAGTTAGTTAGTTAGTGCTGACTCACGCCTCCAGCTCCTGCTTCATCTTAGTGAACTCCTCCTTGGTCATGGATCCTTCTCCCTCCCCCAGCTTCTGCAGCTTCTCTCTGGACGCGTCAAAGTCTGGTCTGGGGGGGGCGGGGGGGATCTACAACAACGTCAACAACAAGACTCAGACACGGATCTCTGTTTGATTCTACTGAGGTTCTTTGTGTGGTTGGTTCTACTTTGTGTTTTCATGCTGTAGTGTTCTGGTTCTGAAGGCCGGTTCCCTCCTGGACCTGGTTCCTGGATTAAGGTATGACAGTCAGGTGACCTCAGCAGATCATATTACAAATGTTAATCAATGTAAACGGACAAAGATTGTTTGTGAGTGACGACACATCACTCTGTGTGTCTCTTTCACTAAGTCACAACAATCAATATCAATCAATAATCAATATGTCATACGTTTCTCAGGCTGGAGCTTCAGGTTGTCAACATTAATTAGCTTCGTCCATGTTAATGTGGATTCATTTGGCAGCTGAATCTTTATTTAAACCTTTAGTCAGTGACGAACGACGAGGGTTCAGGAGGATTCAGATCTGATCAGTTTGAACTCATTTGTTTTTCCTGTTTGTTCCACAGGTTTTTAATCACACAGTAAATATCTGTGTCTGAATGAACAGAGCGTCAGTGGATCAGAACCAACGCTGAGCTGCTCTCTGGCCTCTGTGTTGTCATCTTGTTCTGAGTCAATAAAGTTCATTTGATTTGATGTGCGTCTCAGAGCAGAGTCGGTGTACATGCTGGTGTTCGTGCTGGTGCTCGTGCTGGTGCACGTGTGTTGCGTTTCTTACGATGTATCCTGCGTAGTCTTCGTTCTCCACAAACGAGTCGTGCAGCCAGATGAACTCCTCGTGCTGTCGAACCACCGAGAACTCGTTCTGCTTGAAGTTAGGGAGCGTGCTCTGTGGGAACAGGAGTTACATCACATGATCAGCTCACAGGACGTCACGTGTTGTTTTCAGCTTCAAAATGTCTCACACATTCATCAACGCCAGCAACGGTTTTGATTTTGGATTCATGTCAAGTCAATTTCATCTGTACAGCACCAGTTCACAGCAGAATATCTGTCAGTGCAGGTTTCAAATAGAGCAAACCTTCTCTTTATTATGTTATAATGTTATTTACAGAGACACAACAGTTCACACCAAGAGACAACACCTGGTGACAGTGGAGAGGAAAAACTCCTTTAAGAGACGGAAACCTCGAGCAGAACCACACCCACGGTGGGCGGGGCTGACAGACAGACAGAACCCTGCAGTTCCTCTAATGACCACTAGAGTCTGGCTCCAACAGTGAGTCAGTCCCCATAGACTCCCATGTTAAAATGTCCAACTTTACAGCAGAAATAAACATGTTTAGAGCCTGGTACAAAAACTGTTTTGGTCTCTAGAGCTAATTTCCTCCTTCATGACACCTGTTTATATAACTCACCTGTTTACATTTTATTAAGGACTAAAGTTATGGAGGATTGAGGGCGTGGCCTGTTTGAGTGACAGGTGGGTGAGCGTATGTTTGCTACAAACCATCATGCAGCTGTCAGTCACATCTCCTAACACGCCCCTCCTCTTTGACCATGTTTGGATTACCTGGGAGTTAGGGGCGGAGTCAGTCACTGCCAAGACGGCGACGGTGCAGCAGCTCACTCTGAGCTTCAAAACGACCATCTTTATTTACAGTGTATGGCTTTGAAAAGTCAGAGGGCACTTTTCCGGCATCTTATATAGACAAATTAAATTAATCGAGGAACTAATCCGCAGATCAATCAAGAAAATAATCTTCAGCTGTGGCTCTAAACTCTGGACTCAAGTGTTGTTTTGTCTCTCTCTCTCACCTTGGTGTGGACGGTGAACTTGACCTTGTCTCTCTCACTCAGGGCGTCGGAGATGTCGACCTGAAGCGTGGCGTCTGTCTGCAGATCCACGTTCACCGCCCGCGGCTGCAGGAGGACAGAAACCACATACCCCATAATGCACCACACCCTCAGATCAAACACAGGACCATCCACTGCATCAGACTGATGGACAGTAAACAGCTACAGTGATTATAAAACTTCATAAATCATGTGACTCTTGAATTGTTTCAATAACCTGTTACATGAAAAACATAATGTGAACTTTAAACACATTGAGAAAGAAGGTTTCAGTCCAGAGAAGCTTTAATACAACTAACATTCAGCTCCGTTTACGGAAGCAAAGAAAAACTGTAATGATTTCAACCTTGTGACCTTGAATCTGAATTTATAAAACTGAAATATTGTTGTTTGGAAATGATCTTTCTTTTGATTCATGAGGTTTAAAATCCCTTGTTTCAAACATTTCAAACTTGAAGAACTCAGGGAGAAAATTGTGTCCAACATTTAAACACTGCAAAATAGTAATACTTTTATTTTTTTAAAAAGATCTAATTATATAAAAAATGAAAATATACAGAATGTTTTAAAATGTTTTGAAAGGAAATTATCTGTATTCAAATATTAAAAACTAGTTCCTCAGATTGGATGAGATTACAGACGACATGGGTCAGCTGAGGTTTTCACTCAGCAACAATTATCTACTAACTTCTTTCGGCTGTTTGATACGACGGTATCTATGTTGTTTCATGAGTTTTTACCAGAGCACCAATGTGAAGATTTCTCTGTGATCTCCAAAATCTGAGGCTACGTTCACACTTCTACATTTATGTTTTAAAGCACATCTATTTTGCTGTTTCCTCCTCCCGTCCACACCACTCCGGAGCTTTCAAGCCCTAAAACAGAGACTTTTGGAAACGCTGCCGGACTAATTTTATTTTTGAAAACTCTGGAGTTGTTTTATTTTGAAAACTCTGGGGTTGTGCTGTAGTCTGGACGGACAGAAACTGAGACCTTCAGAAACGATGAGGTCACACCCATGGTCTCTCCTGATTGGCTGATTGGGAATGACTGTCACTGACCTTGTTGTCTTTGCTAGCAGCTGTTGTTCACTAACATTCTCTGTTTTACTGCTACAGCTGTCTTTGCTGTTCCTGCAGCTAACCAACAGCAGAGTAGACAATCTGCTTCCTGTTTACACCTGCTCGGACACGCCCAGTGTACGTGATTCCTCATGTATGTATGACTTAGTCTGGACAGAGATCGTTTTCGATTGAAAACGCTGTTTTAAAATGAGAAAGTAGTAGTGTGGACGTAGCCGACATCTTCAGTCTTTTACCTTCCCTCTTTCAACAGGCTTTTATAGTAAAGTGTTAATAAATACTCAAAATGTTACTGCTTGTGTCTTTAACTTTATTTTACCCTGTTATGTTTGTTTCTGTTTTAGTGTAGTTCATGACTTTGTCAAGTAAAGAACTTTATAAATAAAGTTTATCATCTTATTATAATAACATCATAATGAGCTGAGGGACGTTTTGATGGAGGAGTGTGTTTTGTAACTGCAGCAGTTGGATAAATGGAAATATTCAATTAAAGTACAAGTACATCAGTAGAGTAAAGAAGTAAAAGTACTTTCCACCACAGGAACAGGCTCAGCACATGAACCGTTGGTCTGTAACTGGGACAGCTGTGGTGTTTTCCCAGTCAAACCAGTACCACAGACTGGTTTCACAGAGGAGATATCCCACTCTGTTCTGTTTTTCCGCTGACCTTTTCACATCTGACTTTATCTGAACTGAAGCGAATTATCCAGTTAACATCAGTAAGAGTGTGTGTGTGTGTGTGTGTGTGTGTGTGTGTGTGTGTGTGTGTGTGTGTGTGTGTGTGTGTGTGTGTGTCGACAGTCATGTGACAGTCTGATGTTTAACCAGCTCATTAACATCATGTTAATCAGCGGTTCGTTAGCTGCTGGTTAGCCTGAGCTTCAACTGTAGCGGAGTGAGCAGGTGAGGCTCACGGCCCGCCCGCAGGTGTGCAGCCCGCGGCAGGGTCCCTGTCTGGACCCTGAGCCGGGAAAACCTGTTTAACCACAGCTGGCTGAAGCTAACACACCCTTAGCATGGAGCTAACGTTAGCAGAGTCGGCTAACTCGGCTACATGCCCCGAGCTAAGGCTAACTAGCTGCTTTAGCCGAGCCGAACAGAACCCAGACAGACAGGTGAACACAGACAGGTAATCAGTGAGCACTCACTCCCCGGTCCTCCTCGGAGAGGAAGTCGGGTCCGTCGTCCAGCCCTTCCTGCTGCGGAGACACAGAGAGCACAGAGCCGTTAGTTTACCGACACACCGACCGTAACACAACAACAACAACAACACGGCCATCGGAGCACCGGAACCTCTCACCGCGACCCACCATCAAAGAACCGCGGATAGAAAAGAGACTAAAATACAAACAAACAAACAAACAAACAACCACAGGGAGAAAGACAGAGAAACCGTAAACCCACCATCATGGCTGCCAACGGGTGGAGACAGGAAGTGGTGAGACGTCACCACGGCCAGGCGTCATCACCCAGAGAAATGAACTGAAATGAAATAAAATAATGTAAAATAAAATACCCGCATGTCATCAACCCAAATTAAATTAAATTAAATCAAATTAGATTACAGCCAAGCGTCATCCACCACAGTTAAATAATGAAATTAAAATAAAATTGAATAAAAAGTAACAGCTGGGCGCCATCAACTAGAGCCAGACAATAAAATAAAAGGAAAATAAAACAACAGTCATCAACCACATCTACAGTACTTGAGTGAATGTACTTGCCATAGCTGTTTATTTGCATGAATTATCAAATGTGTGTAATTTGCCTGTAGTTCAGCAGCTCAGTGACCAGCAGGAGGAGACAGAACTCCGCCGACTATGACCCAAAGACTATAATTTTATCATTACCTAAAGACCATGAAATTAAAACAGCCCAGTGGCGGCTGCTGGTCTTATAATGAGGGGAAGCTCATTTTCGGCCTACGTCATAAAATGTGTCCGTTTATTTATATGTAAATTTGCAGAGTGACAGAAGAGAGTCGCCAAACACAACGCTAGTCGTTTTTAACAAAGACAAAGTGGCTGAGGATCAGTAACGTCTCCAGATCAACTCCGAACAACGGAATGAAAAACTTGAAAACTGCTCCGGTGGATGCTTAAACTTCAAGATCGCTGATTCGCTCATTTCGCTGTCAATCAAAAAGGGACTCAGCCTCAGACAGATCATCCAATCATCATGCAGAAGCTGAGCGTCCGGGCCAGCCCACCGCCCCATAGACCCCCAGAGACGCTGAGTGTCCGATGGGCGGGACAAAGCCCAGCATTTATCCAATGACTGTCTAGTTTGGCTGCAGTGGAACAACCCACTCTGTGCTTCCCCAGTGAAGTCAGGAGACGCTCGGCGTCTACACTGTGTAAAGCGCTGTGGCGCTGCGGGATGAATGAGAAGAAGTCGTGACGGTTACCTGTGATAAGCAGCTGATTCTGAACAAAAGATGAACGGGTTCTAGCGCATATTTAGTCAATGAAATGTTCACACACCAGCACATATTTAACCACTTATTCTGTTGACATTTTAGGGGAAGCTGAGCTTCCCTTGCATCTTAGAGCAATCGCCACTGAAACAGCCGTTTATTTTACAACTTTAACTGGTTTGAATAAAGCTTTCTAAAGGAATCGATAATATAAATAAACCTGTTCTCCTGTGTTCATTAAGAAAAATGTTGTAGAATTGAAAGAAAACCTGAATTAGCCTGAATTTATAGATTATGTGGTAACGTGTTAAATTTTTTGTTGAGAAAGTTGTTGAAAATCCATATACAGTATATTAAATACTATATATATAATAAATACTATTAAGAATATGCCTATATTAAATTAAATACTATATTCAGTATACTAAATATTATATGTAAACTATATTAAATCACCACACCATGGAATCTCATCATTCAGTTCTTTGGAGAATAATGTTTGCAAATTATATCTGCATGTCATGCTCTTAATAGATCTATTTATGGCACACGATACAAATAGTTCATATGATCACATATTTTTAATGACGTATGAAAGATTGTAATTTTTGTAAATAATGTTGTAAATAAAGTTGATTATTTATTGTATTGTATATTGTTTTTCTGGAGGTTTCTCCATCACCACATGGGATCTGTGGAGTTCAGACAGACCTTCAGGTTCTTGGTCTCCTCTCTTCTTCTAATGTTTTTGTTTTAATCTCAGAGACGATTCAGAGAAATGGAGGAACCTGAGCTCAATTTACAGTCGCAGCAAAGTGTCTGAATACTTTTGTCAATGTGATATTTCAGTTTTTACTTTTTAATACATTTCTAAACATGTCACATTATGTCTTGACTTTGTCTTTATGGAGAATTGAGGGAAAATGAATTTAAATGATTGTGGCATAAAACTAAAACACTAGTGAAGACGTCAGAAGACTTTCTGAACTCTAATGGGAGAATAAACCACAGACAGACTCAGGTGATTTCCTGTAACTGCAGAGAGGAGGAGCAGATGAAAGTGAAAGTGTTCAGAGTTCAGACGCCATTTTAACTGTCGGAGCAGAAGGAGGGAAACTGAAGACTGAGGCAGGTGAGTGTTTAAACATTATTATTATTTCACTGTCAAAGTCTCAGAGTCAGTTTGTCCCTGTGGAGGGAAGAAGAGTCACAGTGAACTTCTGTCCACACAAAGACACTGAGAGGAGAGGAGGGAACAACATGAGGTGTGGTACTTCCAGTTCACTGCGTCACAATCAACAGTTTGACTCGACGCTGTAATGAGCTGAATAATACACATGAAAACTGAGCAGGGTTATTATACTGTATAACCTGTTAGAGAGAGTGTGTGTGTGTTTGTGCACACGCGCACGTGTGAGAGTGTGTGTGTTCATGTGTGAGTGTGTGAGAGTGTGTGACTGTGTGTGTGTTTGTGAGTGTGTGAGTGTCCTCCAAACTGTCTCTGTAACAGTGTTCAGTGTGTTGAGCTGCTGCAGTCGACGTCACTGGAACAGAAAATAATTTCTTCCTGGTTCTTCTTTTTTTTTAAATTATATTTTTGGGGCTTTTTATGTCTTTATTTGATAGAACAGTAGAGAGACAGGAAATGGGGAGGCAGAGAGGGGGGGAATGACATGCAGCAAGGGCCGTCCGATGCGGGACTCTATCCGGGGCCAACTGCAACGAGGACTGTAGCCTCTACACATGGGGCGCCTGCTTAGACCACTACACCACACGCCGCCCCCTTCCTGGTTCTTCTGTCTCATCAGTGTGTTGATACTGGCTGCTTGTTTCTTGTGAAATGATCTGATCAAAGATCATATTTTTCCTGCAGCTGATGAACATGACTGATTTACAGAGTTCAGTAATTAAAGGGCCGTGGTGGAGGAGAGAAGCAGCTACAGAAGGAGGGAGCAGTGTGTTGGTGAACCTTGATGAGCTGGATCTAACAGAGTTCAGAGACTTTGCAAGATGAAGACTTTTACAGGCTGAATGATGAGCTTCACTGTGCACAGTTAGTCTGTTTGGTAGAAACTACAGTGAGCAGCTGTTTCAGAAAGTGGCAGAGTTTTTTAAACATGNTCAGTAAGATGCTGAAGACAACTAGACAGTTGAAAAAGCACAATGCTGAATTTAAACAGAAGTGACCAACTGTTACTGTTGACTGTCTGAGCGTCTACACATTGTTGTCAACACAACATTTAGTCAGAGCTCAGGTCGAGCTGCTGGAAGCTTCTGTTGTCAGGTTCAGTCTCCTCACACTGGATTATAGCTCCAACACAGGTTCGTTAGACTGGAAAAGCAGCGTTTGGATGAGTTCATTAGTTAAAGCAGCAACATGACAAAGAGCTGATAGGACTCAGAACAGAATCAAGATAGAATACATGATCAGTGTCTGAAAGAGTCACAGAAAACTTCACAGTAAAAGATCTGAACCAATGACATTAGTGGTGAGGTGACGCAAAGACACTGTGAAAGAAGAGCTTCTGTCAACGTCTGTGTGCAGGTCCAAAGCAGAAAACTGGGAGACTCGGTGCTCAAAGTTCCCACACAGTGTGTGACACTGAAGTTACAAGTAGAATTTCAAACTTATTTTTACACCTGTCCAACAGTAACAGTAATGGCCATAAAACAGAAGAAATAATAAGACAGAAGAAGAACTGTTAACGAAGCATGAGAGGAACGAACCCTGACATTAGTGTTACAAGAAGAAAGACATGACAGTATAAACACTGAGCTCAGTGGAGATTCAGAGCCTGAACTGTGGAGTTATCTGTCCTATGATGAAATGATGATAAAGTCCAGGTCTGCTTTCATCAGATCTGATCCAACATTATCATCTTGTTTACAAACAGGGAGTGAAAGAAGAGAATAAAGAATGGAAAATCAGAAGTCCCAATCTCACAATTGTGCTCCACATGTTTTACCTGATATTTCTCAAAGTGCTTTCCCATTCCTCTTTATACCATCTGAACTCTTGCAGCCTGTCGCACTCAATCACTTACCAGGTGACGTCAGTAAAGTCTGTGTGGGTTCAGGGTTCAGGGTTCAGGGGAGACATTGGGACTGGGCCAACATGTCACATCAATGTTAGAACACATACTTCCTGTTCCTTTCTTTTACTTCCTGTGTCATGACGCCTGTAACTTGTACCAGAGTCCACCAGAAGGAGGCAGAAAAACATGAGAACCCTTCAGCTATAACTGCACAATATGTTTTTATTCTGTCCTACAGTCAGTCATTGTCAGTTCAGTTCATTCAGCCATGGGATCATTCATCATCCATGCATATGTTGCAGTGTTATGATGAAGGTTTATCTGTGCTGCTGTCAATCATCTAATTCTATATAAAGAACCAGGGCTGTTCCCTGGGTCTGCATTTACCATTCACTCTCTGACCAGAGTTGCTGTAGTGGATAAAGTTGTCCGAGTATTACACATCACAAACCCACAATCTTTAATATGTGAAATGAATAAAAAAATGTTTGTGTTTGCAGAGGTCAGAACCACAGACTGAGAGCAGAGTCTCCAGGATCCATCTGTCCGTCTATGAGGAGTGACTGGTCCAATGCAGAACCTCCAGACTTCAGAACTGAACCTGGACCCTCAGACTCACAGTAAGAGACTGTTTCTACTGTAAACTGAGCTGAAGATGATTCAGTTATTAGACACATGTGAAGGAAACAGGGAGAAACCAGGAGCCACATCCATAAAACTCTGTGTAGGTTCACAACCAAACCTCAGAGACAGAAACATGCACACACACTCTTTTCATCAGATTTATAAAGCAGAGCGTTTCTTTCTCTTTTCTTTCTTTCTTTTCTTCTTATAGCACCAATTCACAACTGAAGTTATCTCAAGGAACTTTCCAAATAGAGCAGGTCTAGACCTTCTCTTTATAATATTATTTACAGAGACCCAACAATTCATCCTCATGTTACTGTTTCATCAACCTCAGTCAGTGT